TATCAGATACTTTAGCGTTAGTTTCCAATGCGTTTAAACGCGTTAAATTTTTAAATTTGAAAAAATTAAAAATTAAATTCAGAATCGAGCTAACATGTACAGAGAGTCTTCATGCTCTCGCACGGCCTATCTTAAAGTCAAGGTTCACAAGTTAAGGAAGATTTTTTGTCTTTTACGTTTTTCATAATGGAATTAGAATATAGCCTTGAATTTAACTGTAAAAAACGACGACATATATATATATGTGCAGAGAACTAGTTTTATTATTAATGCCCAAAAAAAAGAAAATGTACAATTACAACAGAAGAAAAAACAGAAGAACGTTAAATTAAGTTACGTTGTTTTATCACATACTACTGAATTACTCACTCACTTACTATTTATAACGTACTTATCGAGTTCGCGTTGATATTATTGACAATGTGTACAATCCAAATAAATAGATGTAGAGACGAGCAGATAAATGTTTTTTTTCCTTTGCTCGAGTCGAGAAATAAATAATGATGAAAAAAAACTACAACCTAGTAGGCAAAAAGAAGTGTTAGAGTTTCGAAAATCAAAAATCTTGATGAATGAAAAAAAAGAAGATATGCTTGCATTTAAACTAAATTTGAAGTTAAATGTTAGAATACTACACGAGTTGAGATATGCAATCTGCACCCGATTTGAATTGGTTTAGCAAAATTTAACCCGAATTTATCAAAATTTAGAAGAAAAATTCCATTGCTCTTTTGAGAAAGTACTATTTGTTGTATTGTGCAGAAAAAACGATGAAATGAGCAAGGGTAGTTCACATGGTCAGCATGAAAAGCTTATCAAGGAATCTTCATCGTTCGACATTGGATACTTCAGAACCATTCAACCCGATTACTTGAGTTTCTTTTCTCGAATCCATCCGATCTCAGGATCGAATGTCATATCTCAAACGTACGTCGTCCTTTGAAATATTTGTACCGTCTAAAATTATGTGTATTAACATCTTTCAATCACCCAAAAGAACGGTTCTATAAGAAGTTTTAGTCAGAAACTAGTGTCGTGGATCAGTTTTTCATGGATCCTCCCTCATTCACGAAATTTCTGGTTAGGAAAGACTAAATATTGATTTCAATACTTTGGTCCATTTTATCAAAAAGCAAATGTTGTTTATCATTTGGATTCTGGTTTTAATAAGCACCTTTCTCCCTTTGACAAAGCCATAACTGGAAAATTATAATTTCAGTTGCACACGCTTCTATATACAGCCAAATGCCCACTTCAAATGAGATTCAATTCAACATTTATCACGATCCCCGTAAATGGGAAGCAAATTACCACATTATTGAATACTGTGGCAACAAATTCCATCGTCAGTCGATCAACATTATTACAACTTTCTCGTGCATCAATTCAAAGAAATAGTTATCGATGTCAGTTAGCCAACAACACAAATATGCATTTCATTGGTGAGGTGGCATCAACAGTTAAAATTCAACAGATAACCGTTGTTATTAGCACTCGACGTGGTACAGCAGCAGTGCCAATTGGCACTGCTGCTGTATCTTTATCAGTTGGCACTGCCAACTGATAAAGATGTTGAAAAAATAGCATTTGATGTTAAATTAGTTTATTCAGTTACGGTGGGTCCACTCCAAGAATGTGATATTGATGTAAAAGCACCATTTTCAACCGCGGACCCAGTTATATTTTATCCGAAACAACAGTTACAACAAAACAAACTTGTATTAGTGCCTCATGCTTTATTAAATATTAGACATTACAAATCCACATTAACGATGATTAATTCAAGTAATTATCCAACAGTTGTTTCGAGAAATACAAGATTAGGTGTTATTACGTATGCAAATCCAAATATTCAATGTTTTGTATTAGCTCCAAAACCATCATTCAATAGTCAACAGCCATCTAACGCTCAACAATTGTCATCCAATGTTCAAACGATCTTTAAACGTCAAATGACACGGACCTCACTATTAAGAATTTAATTAATCATTAAACTCCACAAGAACAAGAAGAAGAAGTTTATCCAATGTTATTGAAACATTAGACATTATTTGATTTAACAAAAAGAAAGATAGCAAACGCGCACATTAAACATGTAATTCGCACCGCTGATCGTCCACCAATTAGCTCACGTCCTTTTCCAAGAACCCTCCACCAACAACAAGCATTATCAAAACATATTCACCATATGGAAAAGGATCATCTCATTAGACGTTCCACATCGCCATGGGCACCTCCAGTAGTTGGAAGAAAACACTCAATAACTCTTCGTATCAATTGTAGAATACCCCAAGGCAACATACCTGGTCCATTACTCTTCCTAGTCTATACTGATGACATAGCCAGTGAATTGTCTTTTGTGACCAATATGTTTGCAGATGATACACTGCTTTACTACAGTGACAAAGGTGAACATGTAGTGAATGATACACTGAATACTGACTTAGATATTGTCTCTAAATGGTCAAACCGATGGTACTTACCTTTGAACTTTCCAAAATGTGTCACTATGAATTTATCGAAAAAACTTACTCAAGAAATTTTCAGAAGAAAAGAGATTATTACTCAAGAAAGTCATGTGCCTGAGAAAAAAAACGTCACTAGGGCAAACAACTTTAGATTCTGCTCGTGCAAATAATTCTTTCTATCCTTGTACTTTAAAAAAATGGTCAACACTTCCTGAAAATATAACATATACTTCTTTCAAAAATTTTCATACACACATTTCTACGTACAATGTAAAACATCTCATTATCGTGTCTATAATATTGATTGTTTCTACATTAATAGGTGCATGTTGACTAGCACCGGCAGCAACGAAGTGGACAATCAAAGACAACAATGGTCCGACCTTCATTGACATCCCTCAGAAATCCGCAACTTAAAAAACATCTTCAAGCTGAATCGTACTAGGTGCATTTTAACTTCTATTCGCAGGCGAAGGCCAATGTGAGCTATGCAATTACCGCCGCCGATTCCGCCAGTTCGAACCGAGTTCTTTCCGTTAAGGGTTGAGCGACTCAAACAAAACTGAACGTTATCTGTTATTAAAAACCATATGCGGTAAAAACAACCCCCACCAAAGTACAACGTAGTGAACACACTCAACGCAACCCATAAACTTCAATGTCAGCAACAAGGAACTGTCTCTCCCCTGCAAACACCCGAAAGCCAAAACCAACTGTATCAACATAACAAACAGGAAAATTACTTCCGAAAACTCACTTATACCGCACAACCAAACTTGACGCCAGCACCTCCCCAACATAAGGAAAAACGCAAACAAGCAAATCGACCGTACGCATCAGAGGCTGAAACGCAGATGATGACGGTGTTCATGAATACGTGTAATAACTAAGATCACTAAGATCACTACCGAAGGCAGGTCCTCGGTCTGGACGATGGTAGACGGCGGATGTCGTAAAATTTGTGTTTATTGGAAATTGTGTGCATGGTGCGTTGTGGCGGTTTGTTAGTGTGAAGAGGAATGCGGTCGTATCTTTTTTTGCACCTGTTTCTGAGCTCCATGGAACTGCAGTGTATGCGCCAAACAGATAGGGTGTTGGACTCGATTGGAAAATTGTCATCGTAGGGCCTTGGTTATCGCATTTGTGATGAAAGGCTGTGCTTTTGAATGTGTCTCGTGTAGCTTTGTAAAGTAAGAGCCATCTTTAATTCTGTGTTCCGTAGAAGTGATTAAGTTTGAGTTGATGTTGTCTGTTGTTTAACAGTGTGCCGCCTGTGAATAGCTGTTGATCTTGTTGAGTTGTGGTAGGAGTAGGTGACAGAATGTGTTCGGTATTTTCGAGATCTTTGAACTTTGGGTTATTATCCTTAACGGAGGACAAGATGTTGTAGAGTAAATGGTACGTAAAAAAGACCATAACTGTATTAAAACTGGAAGTTGTTTCGTATTTTTGAAAATCTTAAGTCGGTGACGAAACGCGTGAGAGGGCTTTTTTCTTTGAAACCAATATTTAGAAATTCCTTCCTAGTGAGATTTACTCTCCGGGGCTGGGATCTGGAGTTCAATATATGCAATATCGCATATAAATTTAGAATTTATAAAGCTAAAAGGATTTATTTCTAAAAGGTAGAGACTTCAAAATCTATGCTATCCAGCGTGCCCTTTCTAGCTAAAATGTCTGCTACCCCCCGCCCCCCATAACAGAAGCCTCCCCCATATTAGAAGCCCCCCCCCCGTATTAAAAGCTCCCTCTGGAGCAATCGATGTGGAAGGTGCATTAGAAGCCCAGGGGCTTCTATTACGTCGGAAAAATAATTTAAATTTTTTAAACGACATATTTGATCGACACGCGTTTTTTTACTTTAATTGTTCTTGTGTGATGTCGTGTGTAAAAAAAGGAAACGAATAAAATTTACATTTTTTATCTCGAAAAAGATTTTTTTCAGATTAATTGAGATTACCG